AATTGTAAAGTTTGTTTGTGTGTGTGCTCTTGCTTTGAACAACCAAAAGAGAATTGAAAATGGAAATGTTTCTCTGTGTTTATTCACGTCTGTGCCCTTGTTTCCCTTTTCTACCACTGACTATAGTGTTGTGCTTGGTTTTGTTTGCCAAGTGCTCTGATTATTTTCTGCTTACTGAAGTTATGATAACGAAATGTTTGTATGCAAGTGTCAGCTTCCTGACGGGTCACACAAATACACAATCACAGTGTGACAGTAAGAATTTATGGAAGTGTTCAGTCATGTAATACATTGTATTGTATTGTAATACATGGTAAAAAGTTAAAATCACCCCCTTTTCATGAACTGGGGGGTAAGTCACCGCTCGTGACTCAGCCTCAGCAGCCATGGAGAAGTTTCTCTGCACTTCGCTGTGCACAGGGGTGGGAGGTCTGGTGCCAGAAGGACCATGGTCTCCATCTGTCCTGCAAGCTGAGTCAGAGCTCAGTTTCGTGCCACCTCAGTGCTCTGGGCTTCAGAAGCCTCCTTGTTTCTGGTCACCAGAGGGTGTCAGATTCTGGCTGATATTTCTCTGCTCTGAAAATGCAGGTGATTGCATGTGTGCCATTGTAAAAAAACCTCTCCAGAGGGATCTCGGAGGCAGGACAAGTGCCTTGGGTCGCTCCTGTGTGCAAGACAGCAAGTCTGATACAAGAGACTTTAAATGCCTGAGACGGGCAATGTCGCCTGATGGCAGCACAAAGCCGCGGATCAGCAGCTGGATTCAGCCCCGCTCAGACCGTGTCTTTGCTGTCTTTCCAGCGCTCAGAGCAGCGGCTCCACCTCTGCCAGCTCTGCGGGGTTGTCCTGCCTGTGACTGCAGAGGGAAGTGGGGGACCACTGAAAAGTGCACGAACACCATTGCGTGCTGAAATCTGGCATGAGAGGCGCTGTGGGTGATGCTGCTGACAGGGTCAGGAGGAGAGCTCGTGGTCTGTTTTGCTCTATCTGCTCTCATCTCTGTCTTCAAGTGCTGTTTAATAGAGAATACCATATCACTCCCCAAAACGTACAGCTGCTGAGACGTTCATGAGGGATGATTGTAGTGGTTCACCATTCTTTTTTTGTTAAAAATTAGTAACTGTTAATCTGCTGCCTGACAGCAGCTGAGCAATAAGGATGTCTGAAAATTTAGCTGGCTTGCACAAATGTTTCCTCACCACACCACCAAGATCGTGCTAGATACCGTTAGATCCTGTGTTAGAAGTGCAAGGAAAGGTGACTCTCACAGGCTTTATTTTGCCCCCTGCCCCAGACCAGCTCGGATGTTGAGTTTTTCAGGTAACTCTTTCCTCGCTATGAATTGTTCCAAGACTCAGCACGACTCTTTCATGCACTTTGTGAAATGTTGCCAACCATAGCACAGCGATTTTGTGACAGTGACAGAGCCGAGTGTGGTGCAGCTCTTGGACACGGATGGTGACAGAAACACAGTTTGTTGCATGGCTGCTCACAGGTCCCAGGCTCATCCCAGAGCACCCCTGTCTCTCTCTCATGCCAAGAGCTCTGCGTAGTCGTGCATGGCTTTCAATGGTAGGCATCAGCCAATTCTTTGTTTTATAGCTGGATAGAGGAATTTGGGCAATTGTGTTCACTAATCAGAAGAGAGGAGGCGTTGTGTGTCCTCTGGTTCTCGTGTTTTCACTATTTCAGTAGATTTCTGCTAGAAGTGTCTGTACTTGTGGTCTCCCTAAAGACAAGCTTTCACAGGAGGAATTTCCCAGGAATTTGCCTGGGTATGGGAATATCCAGTACAAATTGTCTAACCCTGGGAGGGTGGGAGGAAACAGCTCAGGGGTTGAAGGGTGCTGTGAAGGGTGCATGGACATCAGCATCCTATGACATTCCTGACATTTTGGAATTCCTCATCTGGTTGTAATGTTAAAAGGATGGATTATTACAGCTGCAGCGGTGATGTCTCTCAGGAGCACGCAAAGTCCTTTGTTCTCCCTGAGCGATACTTGCATACATGTGGGTTGCTGGTGTGTGCCTTCACCCACCTGCACATCCACTTTGAGCATTACGTCTCCTGTTTGACATCTGTCTGGGGCTGAACGCCACAGCCATTGCCAGAGCAAGTGCTGGAAGGGAGAACTAGCAACCCAGATCTGCATGGACATTTTCCAGCCAGCAGCACCTCTGGCAAAGCTGACGGATGGACTCTACCTGCCGCACGGCAGCAGCTCCTCTGGGCGCCCATAGAGAGAGAATGGGTCCAGCTTCATCCCCCAAAGGTGAGCTGGGTGTCCCTCTCAGGAGAGGGAGAGACCGCACTCCTCTCACTCCTTCATTTCTGTTCTTCCTCCGTATCCTCCTGCCTCAATCTCCTGCAGTCTGTCGGGCAGCCTGCTGGGAATCCGCTGCAGTGCTGCTCCCTCTTTTCTCAATTTCTCAGAAATACATAGGCAAAGTTTGCTCTGCATCATTCTAATGAATAATTTTCTGCTCTTTAGGTGGGACCTGTTTTTCTGCTGAAAGCAATCGGCTTTATCAGCTGATAATGAAAGATCATGTAGCAGAATTCTGCTGCCCTTGTGCAATGACTTCCTTTTCTGGCCTCTTTATTAATAGAGTTAAGGGTGTACCAGGGCAGAGCTCTGGCCTGTGATTAGGGTTACATCAGATAATGAATCGAGATGTCTGATCTCAGCTACAGGAGCAGATGCCAACAGTTTCTAAGATGAATAACAGAATGATAGACTTCCTTTTCTGCTTTTTCTAGATCACTTTTATGATTTAAAGGTGGAGAAAAAAGAGCCTGGCCTTTAATAACTTATTTTCAGTTTGACTCACATTCCCCAAAAACAGGCTCTGAGAGCTGTGAGGAAGTATTTACTGTAATTACTGTGCTGTCCTAGTCAGGACACCAACCAAAACGGCATGGAGGTTTCATGCAGGCTGCTTTTTTGAATTCATATAAAATCCATCTGATATTTCCTATTATTCATGAAAATGTAACAACATTGACTGCAGCACAAGTTGACCAGACTCGAAGGGTGTAAGAACAGTCAGTGAGGCCATGCCTGGATTGTAAACTGCTGTTACCAACAACAAAGAATTAATTTATTCTGTTTTTTCAGTGGACCCAGCCAATCCTTATGGGGAAAAACAAAAACACTGGACAAAACTCATCTTAAGTATCTCTTCCGTATTTTGAAATTATTTAATACAAAGATGTATCTAGACACATATTTACATACACCTTTAGTCTTCAGATCTGTAACAGGCAAGAGCAAACAAAAAGAGCAACAGTTCTTCAGGTTTACAGAGGAGACTTGCAGCAAATGACATTTAAATCAGGTGTCAGGGAAACAGTTTGTGATTGTAGGGAGAATTTAGCATGGGGATATGCTGTGCAGGAAGAATCCCCCAAATGGATGTGTTTGAGTAAAAAATGAGGAAAATGCATCCTTGATGGTTTAGAGATCGTTGATTCTATCCGTGGTTAAGGAGCTGGGGAAGGAGGTGTCCTGGTTTGAACTAAATAGAACTGATTTTCTATTTAGTGATTTTACTTTCCAGCTCAGTCTCTTCTAAGTGGCTGAACTTGCTCAAACCAGCAGCGTGGTTTTTCCAGACAGTGTGCACTGCTACAGGTGATCATCACAAGGCCACTGCTGTGTCTGCGTCTATGGGGGTGAAAGCGGACCCAAACCTGCCCAACAAGGTATTCCATCCCACACACACCATACTCAGTGTAAAGCCAGGGGATCACCAGGGTCTTGACCCTTTCATCTTGGACCCTTCCATCCGTCTCGGCCCCTGCAATGGCCCAAGGCCCAGCAGACCCTGCTGCTTCGGCTGCCTCTGATCCTGATCCCTGTGTTCCTGCATCAGCTCCCACTGCTGCTGGGTCCGCACTGGGACTTTTCCAGTGCTCCCAGAGCCTCTGGGGACGTCATTGTCATTGGGGGAGGATTTTATATTGGTTTTGTATATATATTTGTACATTTTTGTATGTATTTCATTATTTTCCTATTTACATTATGATCCTGTAGTATCAGTATTATTGTTTTATTAAACCTGTTAGTTTTATTTTCCAACCCATAAAGTCTCTCTCCCTTATTTTCTTTTCCCTTTTGGGGAGGGGAGAGGGGTTAACAGAGAGTGTCTGTCCTGGATTTAGTGGCCAGCCCAGCCCTAAACCACAACAGGAGGAAAGGGCTGCAATAGATGTCTGGTTTTTGCTGTACCCATCACCTTTTCCCGGCACACTCCCATCCCCAGCATCTCTCAACAGTGAATGGCTGCAGTGTGTTGGGCTCTGGCCTGGTGCTCTGTGTCTGAAGTCAACTTTCAGGCGTCGGGGTGAGCGTGTCTTGGTTTGAAAGCAATGCAGGTCTCCCCCTGGCAGCATCTGCCCCAGGCAGAGGAGGGTTACCAAGGCCAGGGCAGCTGCTGACCTCTCAGAGATGTCCAGCGGCAGGCGAGGGCAGTTTGACGGCGCAGCTGGAGGTGTCACAGGAAATGCTGTGGTTGTATCGGACAGGAGTGTCTGGACAGAAAAAGTCGGGGCAAGTCCGGCTGTGCATGAGCAAAGGGCCTATAACTGGGCAAAAAAAAGAAATCAAATTCATAACGAGAAGAGCTCTCAGTCTTGAGTTAAAACTAGAGATGAACAAGCACTTTTTATCAGCTGTCCACAGATCTGAGGTGGGGAACTGGGAGCAAATTCTGCCTTGTTACCAGTGCTTTGGGTCGCTGGTCTACCAGTGATGCTCAAGAAATACATAAGAACTGGAGGGTCCTGTTAAATGGAGATGCTTGCCTGAAGATCTGGACTGGGTTCAGCAAGCACTAAGCAGAATTCTCCAGGGCACGGTAATGCAGATGTTCATAGATGGTCCTTTGGAGCTTAATGTCAAATGTGTGGCAGATTGAGTAAGAGGAGCTCGTTCTTATCATGAAGTTTTTGCAAGAGTGGGAGGAGATGAAACAAAACACACTTTCCTGTGAGTTTCTTAGCAAAGTGGTTTGTCAATGATCAGGTCTTTATTTACATCTGTCGTTTGCTCTGTAAGAACTGGGTCTTGTTTTTTGCAGAGGATGTAGGCCCTCAAAATTAAAAGGTAGGTGTTTTTGAACTTCTTTATCTTGCAGGCATAGACAATGGGGTTCATGGCAGAATTGGCATGGGATAACACGATTCCCAAGTACATCAAATACTCGGGGATCTCACAGTCAGGGTAAAAATAGGAAATGCAGTTTATAATGCAGAGAGGCAGCCAGGATATGGCAAACAGGAAGAGAACAAGTGCCAGAGATTTGGCTGTCCTGAACTCCTGTCCATAAAAACCTCCTGTCCCTCTCACGCTGGTTGTGCCTTGGCTCAGCTTTGTCCGGATGATGTAGAAGATTTCAACATACAGCACACACATGACGAGCAGAGGGACGAGGGTCCACGTGAAGAAGCCGAAATACACCATGTAATCCATCCTCATCACTGTGGTGAACTGGCAGCTGAGGAAGTCGGCGTTTCCTGGCTGTGTCTTGTTCCACCCGAACATGGGCACTAACCCTGCCAGCAGGGACACGGTCCAGCACAGCCCCAGCGCCCACCAGACTCTCCTCTCTGTAGTGATTACTTTGTATCTGTGGGGGAAGAAAACCCAGGCTGTGTGAAACAGCAGTGATTCAAACCCTTATGGGTGGCTTCGAGAATTCACATATTCAAAAGGTACAGGTTCACTGTAACAAAACGGAGCGTTAGCTGCTCTTGGCGGGGACAGACCCTAAGTCTTATTTCGAGACAAGCCCTAATGCTTCATTTGTGACCATTTCTTCGTAGCGGTCATAAGATGAACTCTGCTTAACTTCCCCTCTTTATAATTGGATGTTTCCAACTATTTTGTTTCTTGTTTCATTATGATCCTAGTGCTCCTCTTGCCTAGATTCTGCTTTTCTACTGTTAGCAGCCGTATCTTATCTCTCAGCTTCCTTGGCTGTACCTTATTCTTTGCAGTTGGTTTATGTCATTTACAGGACCAAACTGTTCTCTCACTTTCCACTGTTATAGGTCCTTTCCCCATTAAAAAAATTGCTTATGCTTGAGGTTATGTTTTCCATTTCTACCTTACGTACTTTTCGATTCAAATATAAGTCTGATATTTCTTTTTGTATTTTCAGCAAACACTAGAAGGACTTTTATTCAATAGATCAGCCTCAAAACCCCAAAGCAACCTATAGTGCTCTGCATCCTGCACCATTAACAGAGCAGCTGAAGTTCAACTGTTTGACCACAGACCCATCCTGTGGCCAAATTCTGCTCAACAGCAACACGGAGCTGTCGGTGCTGCACAAAACCCCCCAGGGTCTGCCCACACCACCTTATCAACCACAGATGGGAGTTCTGGCTCTGGATGGCTCCTCTCAGGTGGGTGCTGTCTCCATGCACAAGCAGGCGTTTAGGGTGATATTGGTTAGAAGGGGGCCAGGTGAAGGAGGAGAGAGGAGGCGGCTCTCGTGGGGCAGAGGGAACCGGCAGCAGCGGAGGGGCCCGGCGCGGTGCAGCGCTCACCTGGTTGGCAGCTTCACTCGCAGGTAGCGGTCGATGGCGATGGCCAGGAGGGAGAGGATGGAGGCGTTGGTGAACACCACCATCAGGCAGCACATGAAGAGGCAGGCGTAGAAGTGGACGCGGACTCCCAGGCTCACCACGATGGCCAGGGGCATGACGAGGACCCCCACTGCGATATCGGCCAGCGCCAGCGAGACGATGAAGTACAGCGTCATGTTCTGAAACGCCGAGTTCAGCTTCACCACCCAGATGACCAGGATGTTACCCACGGTGGCAAACAGAGCCACCAAGCACTCGGTCCCTATGTAGATCCCATCCAGGCTGCTCAGGCTGTTGTTGGGCATGGTGAGCGGCTGGAGATGCTCCCACCCAGGCTCGAGCTGCAGAAGGGAGCGTGGGCATCAATGACCTCGTCTGGATTCGTCCTCGGTCCCCGGTGCTCGGCCGTTCCAGTGACTCCCAGGGCACAAATCACCTCTGGTATTTCACGTCCTCAGTGATCAGCAGCAAATCAACTGTTGTCTCCTCACAGAGCCGCAGTTGCCTCAGCACTCAGTTCCCCACTCTGGACACATCTCCTGAACTCTCAGCATCTCTGTGGCAGCCTGGTGTCAGTGAAATACTTTGGAAAAGCTTCCCCAAGCTTGCTTACCAGCAACGTATAAACAAATGCTTGAACTGCTTCCTCTTCCAAGCCACGGTTTCAGAAGTGGGAGAACTGTAACCAGAGCTGATTGTGCAAAGCCGTCACTTATCAATCTAAGTAATCGCTCTGTAGTCACTATAGGAAGTGAGGCAGTTCAGGGGACGCTAGAAGGTGTTTGGTGTTTTGTTAAAACACTGTACTTGATTTAATTCAGGGTGTACCGCTTCAGTTAAGGCCCTGAGGTGCATGAAAAATGCTCTTTACTCACATCTTTCTCAGTCAGACAAGAATACTACCGTAATTCAGGTGATGTTTCCAGTGAGAGGCATCATTTCCACTAAAAGTCAGTCTGACGATCAACCAAGTCCTGTTCAAAGTGGCACGCTTTCCTAGGCACTGTATATAGAAGATAGAGAAATTGAAGGAAGATGTGGGAAGTGACGGGAAATCGGGGGGAGACAGCGTGGAAGCTGCGCTCGAGGATGAGCTGGGCAGCGGGGAGTGCCTCGCTCCTGGATGTGGGGCTGCACTGAAGGAGCTGCTCCCATTTCAGATGAAACCACAAAGAAATGCAAACATGTGAGCCCATGAGGTGCAGGGGCACCTGACTTCTTGGACAGGCAGAAATGCACACTCTCCAGGAAAATGAGGTGAGCAAATGAGGTGAGCAATTAGGTGGATGGTGCTGTATTGGTGTAGCAAAGCCTTAAGCCAACGTGGATAATATTTGGTTTCCCAGACACCGAGTCCTCCATCTCTTCCACCCAACTTTCTGACAAAACTGAGAGTGTGGAAGTGAAATCAGCCCTGGGAGGAGACAGAGCCAAAAATAAACGAGACTTCTTTATTCTCTGCTATCAAAAGTTGGATGAGTTGTTCTTCCTTGAAATTGATGTAAGTGCTCCTTGTCCCCGACCGGAGGGCATTTGGTGGGATTGCTGCTGGGAAGAGAACAAGCTGCCTGTGAGCAGCCCCAGCTGTGGATGAGCTGGGTCTGTAATCCAGGCTGACACAGGATAGCTGTGGGTGCAGGAGATGAACCCGGCAGAGGCTGTGTGAGCTGGGACGCACGCTCGGCTGCTGTAAGTGAAGTCACTCCTCCGGGCAGGTGGCACTTGGTGGCTCTGAGCAAAGGTGGACATGTCGCTGTCCTCGGGGCAGAGCTCTCCCCCTCCTGCGCTCCCAGCATCTCCTCCTCACCCCAGCTTCCCTTTTCTGTCACCTGTGGCTGCAGCCAGACACTGCTCGCAGTGACAGCTGTTGAAAACTGAGCTGTGAGGGGCCTGCCCTCCCCTGCTGCCCTGTGCCTGCTCCCGAGGACCAGAGCTGGGCGCTGTGTGGGGCCTCAGGGGAGCAACTTCTGTAACTGAGTCAAAAAAGACTGTTTCTCCCTCCTTTTACTCACCCCAAATCCATCTGAGTGTCTTCACATTTGCCCTCTCCACCCCTTCTTTGTGGCAGGGCTATGAACTGGACCCCTGAGGCTCCCTTGGTCATATTTTTCTGTGATGCTACAGCTATACCATACATAGTATAGACTGAGCAGCCTTTGAAGCTGCAGTGCTGTATAGCTGTGCATTGGCTAATTCACCCTGCTAGGCAGCACGGAGCACCCAACTGGAGAGAAGATCGTGTGTCTGGGGCCAAAATAGACTCACAAAATGACCATATCCACCAGGTAAACCTTGCGGTTAGCTCATAGTGTCAACTATATAATGTTGATTCCTCTGCAAAAGCATTCACAAATGTGTTAAAGCTTCTTTTTGTCCATCGTTTTTCCTTGCCCCAGCTCCTGTGCTTCTAAGGAGAAATAAAAGACCCAAAGGAAAAGCAGCCCTTTGGGCCCCTGTCCCTGCTGATGCAGCCCAGGGCACTGCCATCGACCCCAGCTGAGCTGCACCTGCCCTGAATGGGGCTGAATTGGGGCATTTCCGTCCAGCACCCCCTGTTCCCACCCGGTTCTTGCTGTGGAAGGCACAAGGTGCATTTATTTTCCTCAGATGTTTCCTCCACCAGGCAGCATCTGTTTCCTGTCCTCAGTGTGAACGAGCCGGGCTGCTGTCACCCCTCTGTCCCCAATGGGGGACGAGCCTGTGCCCTTCTGCTGCCTCTGCCCTCCCTGCTCACCATTTACAGGCACCCAGCCCAGATCCCGGCCCAGGGGTTCCCTCATTTACTTCTCCACCAAATTTCTTTCCCGTAGCACACGTTGAGCTCCTGCCGAGGGCTTAGGGACGCACATGGCAGGGCTGAGGCCGCAGAGCTCTGTACCTGGGTGTTGGCAATGCTGCGCTCATCTCTGCTGGGGGCTGTACCCGCTGTGTGTGCGTGTGTATGCATGTAAATGTGTGCTGCCATAAGATACAATCCTTCTGCTAGTTGTGTCACTGTGGTTGGGATATTTGGATGGCTTTGCTGTCATGTACAGTAACTTTTCTTCATAAAAGCAGTTGTAATTTGAAGCAGGCTGCCTTGTGCAGGCTGATAATGCTGGCAGCAGGAGGGACTGTGAGGAAGAAGGATCAGGCTCGACTATAATGGGGTTCATTTTTCCATTCCTCCATGGTATCAGGTGGGCATCAGCCGTGGAGCAAAGGCAGAGCCTGCTGGACATCCCTGCAGTCTGCTCTGAGCGCCTGCAGCCCCACAGAAACTCAGCCGTGGCTTTGCTACTGGAGGAAACTTCCCGCCTGGGTGCAGACTGCAGCTGGGACACGTCTGTGAGCCGGCAGCTGAAGGCTTTGGTCTAGATTAGGCTCCAAGGTGTATTTTTAGTTCGTTATTCAGCTGACACAGCGATGCCCGCAGAGCTCTGCAGAGAAGGTGCTGGAGGAGGCGTCCCGGGGCAGGTCGGGCTGAGCAGAGTCCAGCGGTGCAGTAGCCCATGGGGTTAAGCAGCGTTTTGGATCCTGGTCCCCAGCACTTGATGGATTTGCCATGTAAAAGGCTGTAAGCAGCTCGCTGGTTTCTTGGATTACTCCAGCAAAAGGCTTCCAGCTCTTCCCCAAGGGCCCTCCTACATCCTGGGGAGATAAGGATCAGGAAGGGAACGGTTTATCTGCAATCTCAGCTGTGCCTTTGCGCATAGATTCCCTTTTCGCATTGGGGGCGGAGGGGAGGAGAACAGATTTTCTAGAAAAAAAAAATCACTTCTAAAAGTGCCACACAGATGCATTTTTAAAAACCCCACAACAACGATGTTATGGTGTGAGTCAACAGCAGCGGCAGTGCCGTTGTGCTGGGGCTGTAAAACACCTGCAAGGGTGGGGGCAGCCCCCTTGCATTCACCACGCTTGGAGCTGGGGGTCTTGGCCGCCCCCCAGCTCCACACACAGGCCCCATCCACAGCCCTCATCGCTTTGGGGCATCATCGCACCGGGCTCTCATTCCCCTTTCCTTACTTTCCAGCAGCTTCTGCTCTTGTGCCAGGAGGTGTGGAGGAGGGTTTTTTTCCTTGGACTTTAAAATTTAATGTTTATATTTAAGGGGAAAAAAAATTAAAAAGGCAGCAGCTCATAAACCAAGAGGTGGCAGAGTCGAGTGCTGTCCCGGCTCTTCCCTGCCTTGAAAGGAAGTGAAAACAAAGCAGAGAGAGGATGTGAATGTGAAGCAGGGTCACATCTGGTGTAACAGCAAGTGATTGTGATCTGGTGAATAACGAGCCTGAATGAGAGTCTGGAGCCTGGCATTGGTGGCCGCTGTCATATCACTGCTCTGTGCCTCAGTTTCCCTGTGCATGGAAAGAGCAGGGTTAATCTGGTGTTGACCAAAAACTCTGTGAGCTGGGAAGGGCTGGACAGGAGCAGAGTCCTTTTGTTTTCCTTCTGAAAACTCCCATTTGGGCGTTGTTTCACCTTCCCTTGGATGCAGGGACAGGATGAGGTGTGGGGTTGCACCAGCTCCTGCCGCAGGAACAGCTTCGCTCCTTTTAAGTCCAAGGGCTGGGAAAGCTCCCCCACAGCCATGTCACCAAGTACGGGGATAGCATCCATCATGGGGGAGATGCTCCAGAAGTGAAACCTGTGCTTGGGGAAACAGCAAGAACTGCTTGAGTTCCTCACGCGGTTTTTCTCAGCTGGATTATGTGGTTTTGGATTTTAAACCTCCCGAAACCTGGGACTGAGCGCATCTGTTTGCTCTTCTTGCTCAGCTCATGATGGAGCGCAGCGCCTGTGTGGGAGGGAGCCTGGGCTGTCAGACCAGTACAGCTCAATGGGTTTGGGCTGTCAGACCAGTGGCTCAGTGAATTTGGGCTGCTAGACCAGTATGGCTTGGTAAATTCGGGCTGTCAGTATGGCTCGGGGAATTTGCCCCCAGACGGTGGCTGCAGCTTTGAACTGGCTCCTGGTGCCACCCCGTGGAGCTCCCTAAAGTACAAACAGGGCAGGAATGAAGGGACAGGGGCTTGGACGAAGGATATTTTTGCATGTTTCAAAATTAATTGCATTATAATTGGAGTGGTTTTTTTTAAAATTTTCTTCAGGTGTGGCTATTGAGTTGATAGCATAATTATTCGAGCTTGTATTTCCCCTGGATATGTTCTCAGTGCTTTTTTGCTGCCTTGAGATCTCTAATCAAAGCAAGGGCTTATTTATAGTAGGGTCATTTATGTCTGGGTAAGCCCAGAGTGGCCCCAATGGCTTAAAAGGATTTACTCCAGATTTGCAGGGGTGTAACGAACAGAGGGATGTGGCTGCA